ACATTCTCACAATGCCTCTGTTCTAGAAAGTAACACCTTCCCAGTCCAGGGAATTAGGACTTGGACATATTTGGGGTCATTACTCACACGGTCTCTCCAGTGAAGAGTGGACACCTGTCACTGAAGGAGCCATGGCGAAGGTGGTATGTATGAGGAGCCATCATTCCATTAGACCTGGGCTCCTGTCTCAGTCCATCATCATTGTAATCATCATCATCATCATCATCATCATCATTTTCATCATCACAATTTGCTTACATATAACCATTCTCATTTTCAATAGACATGGTGATTGTCCCCACACAATTCCTTTTTTTCAATAAAGAAAGCAGACATCTACTCTTCAGATACCATTGGAAATTCAGACCCCACTGGCCCAATGTAAGTTGACATAGGCCTTTTAAAAAGCCAATGACCATTGGTGAGAAAGTACAGATTCCTGCCAAACATTGGATTAAGATTATTGTAGAAATTTATCGTCACCACCACCACCACCACCACCACCACCACCATCATCATCATCACTATCTTCATTATCATTTCCTTACTTATACTTATTCTTCTCATTTTCTGTAGACTTGCCTTTTGTACCCACATAAGGACCCTTTTACTTAATTTTGCTCCTTTTGTATAGTAGTTAAGTAAAATACATAGTCATACTATGTTTCCTGTATTGTTTGACTTCTAACAACCGATGGCTCATTGCTGTGTCTTCTCCATCTGTCCCGCATAGGGAAAATAAGATAAGAAACCATAGTTTTCTCTTTAGATGTCATTGTGAGATTGAAACAACTCCCTGGAAGCAAAATTCCTCTGTACTCCCATCACTTCGCCAAAATAAAAGCCCTGCACCATTCTCCTTTCCTGACTCCATCAAAGCAGGTCTGCCTTCCCCAAGGCCTTTTCTGAGTTTATAGAGGATTTCAACTCTGTACACAATAAACATTCCATGTCCCTTGGTGTGTGTGTTTGTCATCAGCCTGTATATCTGCACCAAGTTGTCATGGATCCCTCTGTCTCTGCTTGGTGTTACCGACTCTCTGTGCTATGAGTGTGATGACATGACAATGACTGTCATCACTGGGGGTCCTTCTTCTCCAGCTTTGAATTCATATACTTGTGGAGCACGCTGCCCAGCACTGAGGTGAGCTGCACAGCTGAGTCATTAGAGCCTTCAGTTAGATTTAGGTAACATGGGTCAGAAGTGTTGGTGATTAACTGTTCTTTTAGCACAAGTGTGTCTGAATGATACTCTCTGCCACTGGGCCATGGGACAAACTTGTCTTTGTTTACAACAGACTTTCTAACTCAGAGATTTCAAAGGTAAACACAAAATCAGGAATCCAGAGGTTCCCTGAGGGAAATGTGACATGAAGAGGAAACCAGTCCAAACCTCCAACTGCACCTGTTCCTGGGAAGGTCTTTGTGTTCAGGGACCCTGAACACCCCCTGGTGGTCACAGCCTTTCCTGAAGAGAGGTTTGTGTCTGGACACACACTGACTTCCTCTCACTGGGTGTATTTAGCGCAGTAATACACGGCTGTGTCCTCAGCTCTCAGATTGCTGAGCTGCATGTAGGCTGTGCTTGTGGATGTGTCTCTAGTCATGGAGACTCTGCCTTGTAACTTCTGTGCATAATCTTTGTTTTCATTGTTAGGGTTAACTTCCCCCATCCACTCAAAGCCCTGTCCTGAGACCTGTCGCACCCAACTCATCCAGTAGCCAGTGAATGTGTACCCAGAAGCCTTTCAGGAGACCTTCACAGAGTCCCCAGGCTTCCTCAGCTCAGCCCCAGACTGCACCAGCTGCACCTGGGAGTGGACACCTGTGGGGAGGAGACAGGAGTGGGTGGAAATCCCCCTTGACTCTCCCTGGTCCTCTCTCCAGCCACGGGACTGGGGAGACCCTTAGCTGTAGCCATGGCCACCAGGAGGAGGGTTCACCAGCTCCAGTCCATGGTGAGGGCTGTGCTGTGAGCACTTCTGTAGGGGAGGGTGTGGCTGTGGGTGATACCTTCAGGGCACAGACTTATCCATATTTAACCTAGTTTGCTCCCTCTCTTTTGCATATTCATGAGGCAGAGTATTTCAGAGCTGAAGTCTTGATCCACCTGAGAGAAGATTGAGGACACAAGCATCATGCTCAGTGGGAATCTCAGGGTACAAGTCATAATTTTTTCTTTAAAAAATTGTCTTTATTGATGAAATTATTATGTATATCCCCTTTTATTCTCCATTGACTACTTCTAGCTCTCCCTCACCCCCTACACCAAGTCTTCACCATCCTACTGTATGTGCCCACGGATTATACATATATGCATATGAGTTTTTGGTTGATTAGTTCCCACCCACCCATCCTTTCCAGCCTTCCCTCTGAGATTCCAAAATCTGTTCCATGCTTCTAGATCTCTGGATCCATTTTGTTCATCAGTTTATTTTGTTAATTAGATTCGACATATGAGTGAGATCATTTGATATTTGTCTTTCTCTGACTGGCTTATTTTGCTTAGCATAATACTCTCCTGGTCCATTCATGCTGCCCCAAAGGGGAGGAGATCCTCTTTTTTTTTTTCCTGTAGCATAGTATCCCATGGTATAAATGCACCACAGCTTTTTTATGCACCCATCTATTGATGGGCACTTGGGCTGTTTCCATATCTTACCTATTGTAAACTGTGCTGGTATGAACATAGGGGTGCATATATCCTTTCTGATTGGTATTTCTGATTCCTTGGGATATATTTCTAGAAGTGGGATCACTGGGTCAAATGGCTGTTTCATCTTTAATTTTTGGAGAAAATTCCATACTGTTTTCCACAGTGGCTGCACCAGTCTGCATTCCCACCAGCAGTTCATGAGGGCTCCTTTTTCTCCACATCCTTGCCAGCATTTGACGTTTGCTGATTTGTTGATGATAGCCATTCTGACAGGTGTGAGATGGTACCTCATTGTTGTTTTGATTTTCATCTCTCAGATGATTAGTGAGTGACTTTGAGCAGGTTTTCATATGTCTCTTGGTCCTCTTTAAAAAAGTGTCTATTCAGGTTCTTTGCCCATTTTTAAATTGGATTGTTTATCTCCTTTTGGATAAGTTGTATGGGTTTCTTATTTTGGATATTATTTTGTATATTTTGGCTGTCAACCATTTATCACATGTATCTTTGCCAAATATGTTCCCCCATACTGTGGGCTCCCTTTTCATTTTGTTTATGGTTTCTTTTGATGTGCAGAAGCTTTCATTTTGATGTAGTTCCATTTGTTGATTTTCTCCCTAGTTTTATTTGCCTTAGGAGATGTATCTGTAAGCACATTACTATAAGAAATGTCTGAGGTTTTGCTGCCTATGGTTCCTTTTATGATTTTTATGGTTTCCCTTTTTATATTTAAGTCTTTTATCCATTTTGAGTTTGCTCCTGTGTATGGTGTAATTTTGTGATCTAGTTTCATTTTTTTGAATGTTTATCTGTCCAATTTTCCCAACTATATTTATTGAAGAGACTGTTTTGACTCCATTGTATGCTCTTGCCTCCTTTTTCAAATATTAATTGAGCATAATGGCATGGGCAGATTTCTGGGTTCTCTGTTTTGTTCCATTGATATATATATTCCTATTCCTGTGCCAGTACCAGGCTGTTTTGATTACAATGGCTTTGGAGTATAATTCGATATCTGGTATTGTGATCCCTCCCACCTTTGTTCTTCTTTGTCAAGATTGCTGTGGCTAATTGAGATCTTTTTGGCTCCATATACATTTTTGGAGTATTTTTTATAGATCTGTGAAATATGCTGTTGTTATTTGAATAGGGATTGTATTGCGTAATATGGACATTTTAATTCTACCAATCCACGAACATGGTTAATTTTCCCTCTTGTTTATATCTTTCTCTATCTCCTTTTAAAGCACCCTGACTTTTTCTGAGTACAAGTCTTTTACATGCTTGGTTAAGTTTATTCTTATGTATCACAATTTTTTAAATATATTTTATTGACGTTTTTACAGAGAGGAAGGGAGAGGGCTAGAGAGAGTCAGAATCATCCATGAGAGAGAAACATGGATCAGCTGCCTCTTGCACACTCCCCACTGGGTATGTGCCCGCAACCGAGGTACATGCCCTTGACCGGAATCAAACCCGGGATCCTTGAGTACACAGGCCAACGCTCTATACACTGAGCCAAGCTGGTTAGGGCAATATCACAATCTTTTGATGCAATGGTTAATGAGATTGTTGGTTTGGTTTCTCTTTCTGAGAATTCATTATTGGTGTTTAAAAATTCCATTGATTTCTGGGTGTTAATTTAGCATCCTGGTACGTTGTGGAATTTGTTTATTAAATCTAGTATTTTTTATGGTGTTTTTAGGGTTTTCATTGTGCAATATCATGTCACCTATGTCTAATAAGAGTTTTACTTCCTCCTTTTCAATTTGCATGCCTTTTATTTCTTCTTCTTGTCTGATTTCTGTGGCTAGGACTTCCAGTACTATGTTGAATAAGATTGGTGAAACAGGACATTTCTGTTTTGTTCCTTTTCTTTTGGGAAATGTTTTCATTTTTGCTCATTGACTATGATGTTGGCTGTTTGTTGTCATGCATGTCCTTTATTATGTTGAGATATGCTCCCTCATCTCCCATGTTGCTGAGAGCATTTATCAAAAGTGAGTGTTGGGTTTTGTTGAATGTTTTTCCTAAATCTGTAGATATGGTCATGTTATTTTTGTCTTTCAATTTGTTTATGTGATGTATTGTGTTTATTGATTTGTGAATATTGTACCAGCCTTGCATTCCTGGGATAAATCCCATTTGGTTATGGAGTGTGATCTTTTTAAAATATTGCTGGATCTGATTTGCTAATATTTTCTGAGGGTGTTAGCATCTATGTTCATCAGGGATATTGGCCTGTTATTATCTTTCTTAGTAGCGTGATCTAGTTTTGAAACTAGGATACTGCTGGACTCATAAAAACAGTTTGGATTCTTCCTGTTTCAGTTTTGGGAGATTGTGTTTTTCTAGGAATTTTTCCATTTCATCAACATTGTCCAGCTTGTTGGCATATAGCTGTTCATAGTATTTTATTGCAATCTTTTTTATTTCCAGGGGTCAGTTGTTCCTTCTCCGCTTTCATTTCTGATTTTATTTATATAGGTTTCCTCTCTTTGTTTCCTGATGGGTCTAGCTAATGGTTTGTCAAACTTTTTTATCTTTTCAAAGAACCAGCACATGGTTTCCCCAAGTTCCATTCCTTAGTGGTGAAAGGTTCTGTAGTGACCAGAGCTGTCTGGAGGAGACCAGGGTAGATACACAGAGGCTTGGGGAGGAGTGCATGACTTGGGAAAGCTTTGCAGACATAGTGGGTTCTCATAGTTCCTGGAAACCCATCAAAGAAGTCCGAGGAGGAAGTGTGGGAGCTCCCCTCCATCCTGGAGATGGAAGGTGAAGGTGGGAGTCACTATAAAACCTAAACATGGAGGTTAGGGAAATGCTGAGATAGATCAAGATAATCAACGAGCACCCTCCACATGGGTTATTATCCCGTCTGAGCCCTCAAAGGAGTAATCTACAGAGAATTCAACACCATCATTATGAAATGTCACACTCTCCCCCATGATTTTAAATAAAAAAAAAAAATAATAAAATGATGTTAAATAAAAAAAAAAAATAATGAAAAGCTGTATAGATGTCTCCTTCACCGAGATATTTGCCCAGCCAGCTGCTTGTTGAAATGAGATTATTTCCAATGAGACTTTGTTAAACTTTCCTGTTAAACTACACTACACAGTATAGTGTATCATCTCACATCAGTGCTGGTGTGACACCTTTAGGGAGAGAGCTGAGGTCATTTCCTGCTCCTGTGGTACCAGAAACAGCAAATCCTGGCACCTGCACAGGTGAGGCGACCAGGGAGCAGCCCACAAGGGCCCTTTGCACCATTCAGATGGATTTCATCGAGTTTCCACTGTCCCTGGTACGTGCATATGTTTTATTTATTGTGAGCCTGTCAGAAGGAAGGGCCCATATGGGGACAAGTGGGCATGTGGGTCAGACCCTGAGCTCAGCACACAGGTGACTAGGCTGTGCTGGGGTCTCTCTTTGTGGGAAAGTTTCCAACCACAGGCTGATGAGAGCTCTGAGGATGGTCTTTGTCCAGAAAGCAAAACAGAAAATACAGAACATGGTGAGGAGATTCCCTAGTCACTGCCCATATGTCTTCTGCCAATAGCAGTGTTAACTCCTCCTCTGGCTTCTGCAGTGAGAATGGGGGAAGTTAGAGCCACAGAGAAAGAGCAAGAACCATCCCTGAATGCATCTGAGAGCTTGAGAGGAAATCCCTGTGTCCCACAGGAAATCCCTGCACCCAACAAGAAGGCCCTTTCTTCCCCACCTCCCTCTGCCCCTGCTCCTGGGGTTGCACACTCTGGGCTTGGTGAGTCAGGAGCGCCTCCTGGTGTCCAAAGCGCCCCCTTATGCCCAGTCCTGCTGTCTCCCTCAGGGAGGTTTGTGTCTGGGCTCACACTGACTTCCCCTCACTGTGTATCTTGCACAGTAATACACAGCCGTGTCCTCGGCTCTCAGGCTGTTCAATGTTAAATAAACTTGGCTCTTGGACGTGTCCCTGGTGATGCTGAGTCGAGATTTCAGTGTTGGGTTATAGTAGGTATCTCCATTACCCCATATACCTCCAACCCATTCCAGCCCCTTTCCCGGAGCGTGGCGGGTCCATTGTACAGTATAGCTCCTTAAACAGAATCCAGAGACAGTGCAGATGAGGGAGAGGGTCTGTGAAGGCTTCACCAGTCCTGAGCCCGACTCCTGCAGCTGCACCTGTGAAAGGACACCTGGAGACAAAGAGTATCAGTCTTGTCAATCACCTGCAGTCACAACCTTCCCATGACTCCTGCGTGGTTCCTGAGACCCTCACCTTGGGGGGCTGTCACCAGCTACAGGAGAAGTCCCAGCAGTCTCATCTTCTTCTAGACCACAGCTCTGCCTTCCCAGAGTCCTCAGCCCTGTGTGAGGAGAGAGCTGTGAGCCTGCATAGCCCAGGTGAGGATTTACCCTGGAGTTTGAACAGAAATTTGCCTATAAGTGTAGGGACTGAGGTTGGGCTTGCCTGGTTCTTCTGAGGATTGTGTGGGGGCATCTCTTCCTTTGACCTCACTCAGCATGTAAATTGGGCTCAGCACAACACAGGGGTCATGACACTCATTGGTTTAATGTCAAAGCACAGCCTAAAATCTCTGAACTTAAGAAGAAATATGGAGTAATTAAGAAGGTCACACTATTATCTTCTCATGAATATTTCAAACAGATGTAAAAGGGATTAGCATTTGTTCTGACCGTTTCTAAATTCAACACACTAGTGTATCCCACAATTTCCAAATTTTTAAATCTAATTTTATATAAATTCTACCCTTGTGTGAAATATAAAAATAAAGGAATTTCACTTTCAGTATCTTAGATCTTAATTTATGTTGTTAATTCATTCAGAGAAACCATTGCCCAAGCACATGCAGGTGGGATATTTGTGATTCTTGATGCTGAAACTTTGTTATTGTGTCTACATCTTCCTGTGAAAACTCTTCCTTTATGCAAGCCCATGGCCTATTGCAGAGACCCTAATATAATTACATCAGAACTAGTCATGGCTTCAAGTGGAAAAAAAGACATGAAATAAAAGCAGTGATCATGTATGTTCACAACTGAGAATCATTCATATCCTATATTATAAAAGTCTAAGTGGCATCGCACAACATCATCACAAGATGGCCACCACAAAGATGGCTGGCAGGGGAGGGAATTTGGGGCCATTAGGGAAGCAGGAGAGGACAGTTGGGGTTGACCAAGCCAGTAGGGGAGGGGAGTCAGGGGTGAACAGGCTGGCAAGGAAGGGCAGTTGGGGGCCATCGGGCCCACAGGGGAGGGCAGTGGCAGGAGATCAGGCCAGCAGGGGAGAAGTTAAGCATCAATCAGGCCTGCAGGGGAGTGGTTAGGGGGCAATCAAGCTGGTAGGCAGAAGCAGTTAGCGGCAATCAGGCAGGTAGGCAGGTGGCAGTTAAGAGCCAGCAGTCCCGGATTGTGAGAGGGATGTCCGATGGGCCTAAACCAGCAGTCAGACATCCCTCAAGGGGTCCCAGATTGGAGAGGGTGCTGGCTGCGTTGAGGGACAACCAATCCCATGCATGAATTTCATGCACTGGGCCTCTAGTGTTGAAGTAATGATGGAAGGAGAATAACCTGTTTCTCAGTCTAGTGTTATGAGTTATGTTGGGGTCCAGAGGGAGGTGAGTGAAGAGGAATCTGAACATAGAATTTCTCACAGGAAAGGAAACTTCAACCTTGAGAGGAATTCCTCACTCCCAGCCTCCCTCTGCTCTTCCCCTGGGAGGTCGCTGTGGACAAAAAATGCTCAGTTCTCCCACAAACATATAACATCCTTAACGTATAATTTATACCTTCTCATATGAGGCATATGATTTGGAAACATATTCTTTGTGTATGTGATTCTGATTTCATTTACTCAATGTAATCTTTGATGGGGGATAAGTTTTTAATTATAACCAAGGCTAATTTATCAATGTTTTCTTTAATGAGTCCTGTTTTGCGTGGTTTTACAAAGAACTTCAAGAAAATGCTCAGCGTTGACTCTCCATGTGCATTGGCTACAGCAGCCACAGGAAGTGGAACAGAGGGGAGCCCTGCTTGGAAACTACCCATAAATCTAGATGTGACTTTTCACTGCGTAAGGGGAGGAAGCTGGGTTTGTTCTGAGTCACTGAAGAGAAATATGCTTGATTTTCATGGACAGAGAATACCTGGGCTTCTGGGTTTAAAGCATCCTCCAGTGAAGGCCCAGTAGTAATTGCAGGACACGACAGCGACAGCTTATATCAGGGGTGGGCAACCTTTTTGTTAGTGCGTGCCAAAACCAAAAAATCCATTTGAGTGACAAAAACACAGTATATGATATGAAAAATACATTTATTTTTAATGTATAGATGTTATGTAAAATTATTTATTTATCTAAGATGCAACTACACTGAATTTATCTGAAAAATAAAAAAAGTCTGTATTAAGAAAAAAATTGTAAATGGAAGATTATAAGAGAGGGTTTTGCGTGCCAACAAATGTTACTGGCGTGTCATGTTTGGCAAGTTTGCCAGAGTTTGCCCACCCCTGGCTTATATCATCATAAGAAATACCCGAATAATTATGAACAGAAGTTTGTTAGAAATAGAAGCTTTAAAGATCATACAAAAATAAAGAACATGTCCTTGCAAACTGGTTAGAAGGGGATTCCTTGTTTCCTACATGCACATTCTCATAGTGTCTCTGTTCTGAAAGGTAACACCTTCTCAAGTGCAGGGGATCTGCACTTGGACACCTTTGGGGTCGTTACTCACATGGTGATACCATGAATCACCCAAGCTGCATAATTCACTGGCTCTCATTTATGAAATCCCTCAACAGTTACAGGGAAGAGTGGACACTCCTCCCTGGAGGAGCCATGGTGATGGTGTTTACGTATGAGGAGCCTTCATTTCTTTAGAACAAGACCCCTTTCTCAGTCCATCATCATCATTAACAGCATCATCATCATCAGTTGCTTACTTACAATCATTTTCATATTTTGTAAGCATGGTGGTTGTCCGCACACATTTACTTTTTATCAAATAATAAAAGCAGGAATCTTCTCTTCAGATGTCATTGGAAATTGAAACAAAAATGGCCACATCTAAAAGTTGATACAAGGCTTCCAAACAATTTATGATTTTGGGTAGGGGAGAGATCCCACCCAAGACAAGGGACCATAACCCCTGTACAGTTATATGGTCATCAGTACCATCACCAGCACAATCAACACCACCATTATCTTCATCATTTTGTTATTTATCATCATTCGTCTGAATTTCTAAAGATGTTGTTTTTGTACCCACATAATGGCCCTTTTTCTAAATGTTCGCTCAAATTTTATAATTGTTCATTAAAATAAGTAGCCCTATTTTATTTTATTTTTTGCTTGATTGCTGAAAGCTGATGGTTCATTCCTGCCTCTTCTCACTAGGCCCCACATGGAAATATAAAAAGAAAAGTTGGGTGTCCTCTCCAGATGTCAATTAAAGGTTGAATACACATAAGCCCCTGGAAGCAGAATTATGCTGCTCCCCCACCTCACAAAATAAAAACCCTGAGCCAGTCTCCTTTCCTGGCTCTATCAAAGCAGGTCTGACTTCCTGATGGGCCTTTCTTGTGTTTCACAGAGATTTCAACTATGTGCATAATAAACATTCTATGCCCCTCGGTGTGTGTGTTTGTCATCAGGCTGGACATCTGTGCCAAGCTGCCATGGGTCCCTCTGCCTCTGCCTGGGGTAACCTATTCCCTGTGCCTTAAGCATGATGACAAGACAATGCCCATCATCAGAGGGGCTTCCTAATCTCTAACGTTGGGTTCTCATAACTGTGGTGGCCACTGTCCAGTATTCAGGTGACCTGCACTGTTTAGTCAGCGGGGTTTCTTGTTAGATTCAGTGGATGTGGGTCAGAAAATTAGATGATTTATTGCCATTTGGGTACAAAGGTGTCTGAAAGACATTCTCTGTATTTGTCAATGTGAGAAAATTGTCTCTGTTTACAACACAATTTTCTAACTCAGAGACATCAGAGGTAAAAGCAGAATCAGCAATCAGAGAGGTCCCTGAATGGAAACCATGACACGAAGAGGGAACCACACAAAAAACCAGCCCAAACCTCCAACTGCACCTGCTGCTTGGATGGTCCTTGTGTTCAGGGACTCTGAGCGCTCCCTGGTGGTTGCAGTCCTTACTGCAGGGAGGTTTGTGTCTGGCTCACACTGACTTCCCCTCACTGTGTATGTTGTACAGTAATACACGGCTGTGTCCTCAACTCTCAGGCTGCTGAGCTCCATGTAGGCTGTGTTGATGGACGTGTCTCTGGTTATGGAGACTCTGCCTTGGAACTTCTGTGCGTAATTTGTGTCTCCATTGCTAGGGTTAACCCTCCCCATCCATTCAAGCCCCTGTCCTGGGGCCTGTCTCACCCAGTTCATCCAGTAGCTGGTGAAGGTGTATCCAGAAGCCTTGCAGGAGACTTTCACAGAGGCCCCAGGCTTCCTCACCTCAGCCCCAGACTGCACCAGCTGCACCTGGGAGTGGACACCTGTGGGAAGGAGACAAGAGTGGGTTGAAATCCCCCTTGACTCTCCCTGGACCCCTCCTCAACTCAGGCACTGGGGAACCCCTTACCTGTAGCCATGGCCACCAGGAAGAGGGTTCTCCAGCTCCAGTCCATGGTGAAGGCTGTGCTGTGAGCACTTCTGTAGGGGAGGGTGTGGCTGTGGGTGATGCCCTCAGGGCACAGACTTATCCATATTTATCCTTGTCCACCTCCACCCTTTGCATATTAATGAGGCAGAGTAT